TGTGTGTGTGTGTGTGTGTGTGTGTGTGTGTGTGTGTGTGTGTGTGTGTGTAGTCCCTCAATAGGTTACTTTCAGTTGGCTGTCTTGGAGCCTGATCTTGTTTGAATATTTGTCTAGCAACCAGTGCCAGGTTCTTTCTTTCCCTTCATAGTAATAAGATTTTGATGCTGAGGCTAGGATTTCCAGTACAATATTAAATAACAACGGTGAGAGTGGACATCCTTGTCTTGTTCCTGGCTCTAGAGGAAAAGCTCTCAGTTTTTCCCCATTGAGGATGATATTAACTGTGGGTCTTTCATATATGGCCTTTATGATATTGAGCTATGTTCCCTCTATCCCTGCTTTGCTGAATACTTTCAATTTTTGGCATGAAGATAAATACAGAGTAAATCCATGTGAAAGTGTGACATATAGAGAGGGTTTGTAACAAGAACACTTGGCTCTGAGTTTTGTTTCTACCACTTATTATTTATGTGACCTTTATGAAGTTTTCCTAAGCTCTTAGAGCATGTCTTCCTTAGTTTAAAAAAAAAAGATGAGTACATGTATAATTTTCATAATCCTGTTATAGTAATTAATATATACTTTTCAGTGTTGTGAGAGTTAAATGAGTTAATTTTTAAGGAGGCAGTTTGTAAATCATACAGCATAGAACTGTTTCCTGTGACACACAATAACTGTCTTTATTTTCGAGTAATTTTCTTTTAATCTGAAAAGGTCGACTATAGTTTGGCCAATTTCTGTCCAGTTTACTGTTCATTTTATTCTTCAGGCATTTCTTACCTGTGATTAAAGTAAAAAGAGATTAAGCTCTAGATGCCTTTCTTTTCTTGTTTTTCTTCTATTCTATACTTCTTCCTTACCTAAATTCTGCTTCTTCTGTTTATAGATTCAGGACTAAAGAGTTTGTTGGGGTAAAGGCATCAGGAAATGATGTGCTCTTGGCTATTGGGGGAATCTAATATTTATTCCTTACTGTAACTTATTTGGTGAAGAACACAGAAGTAGGCTTAGTGATCAATTTCTTCCTCCCTCTGAGCATGACTATGTAAATATTCATTTTTTTTTAATTCCATCTTCTAGTTACAACAGTTGGAGCTTGCGCAGATACAGCATAGAGATGCTAACCTCACAGCTCTTGCGGCTATTGGACCAAGAAAGAAGAGACCACTAGAATCTGGGTCTGGAAGTGAGGTATTGAAGTAATGTTTTTTATTTTATTTTTCATGTCAAGAAAGCAAGCCAAAAAGAAGCAAAGACGTGTAGATAGTTTACCCTACCTAGCATGCTGGTGCTGCCAAATGCTTGTTAAAACTCTCCTTTGCCTGTTTTACAGAATCTTAATTTTTCCTGGTTTTTAGGATATATATCACCTTGAACTTTACTCCTGCTGATTACTTATTTTATACTACTTTTATACTTCCTCCTATCCCTCATTTCTAATCCTACTGAGTCTCACTATCTCAATTTTTTTATTTCTGTACATTCTTTTCAGTGGTCTTATGTAACCCTCTTCCTGCTGTGTATGTAAATCTAGCTCATCTCTTAAGATCAAATCTGCCCTCTCTATTTCTTGCATGAACCACTATTCATTTCCTCATTGACTTCTTGTCTCAGTACATAATGTGTTTGCATGGCAAATTAGTCTCTGTTCCACATAGGATGCATATTTTTTCCAAGATTTTAAACTTTTTGAGCAAGACTATAATCCTATTCATTTGTCTTTCCCCCCAGAACCAGGCACTTATATACGCAATAAAAATTGTTAATTGACTAGCACCAAGGAGGCTCTTACTTACATCTTTAGAGCAAATATTTGATGTAATGGTACATTAATGGATTGATCATCAGGGTGAGATAGAAGTACGGTAAGAGCCCTGAGATAGGGTCAGCAATAAGAGAGTCACGGCTCATCTGTTTTGCTGTGTAAAATTTAAATGTGCTTGAGACAAGCTCCTCCCTAGCATTGACCCTGAACATTGACAGTTCCTAAATGAATGACAATCATCTCAGTAGAAGGATTTAAAAAATTAGTTGTTTTTCCTTATAAATGTAGTGAATGCAACGTGTTCACATGCCCCCCCAAAAAATCACAGTATAAAAAAAATGTTCGAAAAATAAATGTTTCCTTCTCACAGATTTCTAGTCCCCCATCTCCTTCCCAGCCAGACATAGCCATTATTAAGATTTTGAAGTAGCTTCCCAGAAATGTTATGAATATGGGCATGTATTTCATGGGTGTTCACAAATCCACATGTTTGATTTTGTTTTTACTTAAATGTGTTCAAACTAGAGTTATTGTTCTGCCCTTGATGTTTTTCTTTTTTCCAGGATCTTTTTCCATAATCTCCCTCATATAATTGACCTCCATAGTTTTTAAAGATATAGGACAATACTGTGTTTAGATAAATGTAAGTTATCAACCTGTCCTTTAATGGAAATTTAGGCTTTTTTACAGAACATTCTTGTACTGACATTGTTATGTTTGTCCAATGTAACTGTAGGCTAAATTCCTAAAAATGGAATTCCTGGTTTAAAGGCTGTGCAAAGTAGGAATAACTTTTTGGAAAAATTCAAACATACAGTGATAGAATAGTATAATAAATCTCCATATACCCCCCCGTTACACCTACTATAAATTTATTCCCAGTCTTTATTTATATCTGTACCAACTTTCTCAGCTAAGTTTTTTATCTCCCAGGTTATTTTTTTTTAAGATTTTTATTTATTTATTTGAGAGAGAGAGAGCAAGCGAGAGAGAGCACAAGCAGGGTGAAGGGCAGAGGGAGAAGCAGACACCCCACTGAGCAGGGAGCCCAATGTGGGACTCGATGCTGGGACTCCAGGATCATGACCTGAGCCAAAGGCAGACACTTAACTGACTGAGCCACCCACATGCCCCTCTCAGGTTATTTTAAAGTCAGTTCTAGACTCAGTATCATTTTAACATAAATATTATTTGTTGCTTTTGATTTTTGTTAAATATTTAAAAATGACCGTCTGAATAAGTTGTATCAGTTTTTACATCCATTATTGTCTACTTTCCCACACTGTGATTAACACTGGGGATTATCTTTGCCCTTCGATGGTTGAAAATGCAATTTTTAGGGGTGCCTGGGTGGCTCAGTCATTAAGTGTCTGCCTTCGGCTCAGGTCATGATCCCAGGGTCCTGGAATCGAGCCCTGCATCAGGCTCCATGCTCCTCAGGAAGCCTGCTTCTCCCTCTCTCATTCCCACTGCTTGTGTTTCCTCTCTCACTGTGTCTCTCTTTGTCAAATAAATAAATAAAATCTTAAAAAAAAAAGAAAAATGCAATTTTTAGTAGAATATTTAAATTACAGGTAAAATTGAGCAGTCTTTTCCTATGTATATTGGCACTTTCAACTTACTTTTTTCCGCTGAGTTATATTTTTCAATTGATTAAGAAAATGGAACACACCAGAATCCCACCCTCCCACCTCCTTCCCCGCCCCCACCCCCAAGTTTGTCTGGGCTATATTCTTCTAAAAGTGTTTATATTCCTAAAAAATCTTTTTGGCTTCTGGACTTCCATTCTGTTTGGGAAGGCCTTTCTTAATTAGAATTGTGTGTTAATACATTTATCATTTTACCTTTTAAATATAAATCTTTGATTCATCCAGAATTTCTTTTGAATAGGAGTTGAGATACGGCTTTAGCTTAATTCCCTTAGTTTTCCTTTGTTCTCTCCCAGGCTCACAAATTGTCCCGACACTGTTTACTCAATATTTCTTCCCCACTGACTTGAAATATTACCTTTATCACGCAAATTTTGTATTGAATACAAATTCCCATATGTATTTGAATCTGTTTGTTTATACTCTGATCCAGTGCTATCTAATAGAACTTTCTGTGTTGAAAATATCCTATCTGTGGTGTCTTGAATGACTACATACAGCTGTTGAGCGATTAAACTATGGCTACTGATTGAGGAAATAAAAATTAAGTTTTTAAAATTAATGTAAATTTTAATAGTTACATGTAGCTAAAAGCTACTGTATTCGTGCAGGATTGTTCTGTTGATACGTGTCTATGTATGGCTGTTTTTGTATTACTACAAAACCTTTTTTTTCCCCTTCTTAGCCATTTGAAAATTATACAGTTCAGTAGTATTAAGCATATTTACTTTGTTGTACAACATATCTACAGAACTCTTTTCATTTTGTAAAACTGAAACTTTATACCCATTAACAATTTCTCATTTCCCCCTCCCACAGCCCCTAATAACTCCATTTTGATTCTGTAAATTTCACTACTTCGATACCTCTTGTAAGTGGAATCATGCAGTATTTGTCTTTTTGTTACTGGTTTAGTTGACTTAGCATAATGTCCTCAAGGTTCCAAATCTTAATATATTTAAAAATATGGTAAAACTAATGTAGTAGAGAGCTTTTTATGTTTTTACTTCCCTACCACAGGACAGCCCCCTGCCCTTAACGTTTGGTCTCTTTGTATATAAATGTGTGTGAATATTTTATTAACACTGGGTCGTGAAGCATATTCCTACAAATATGACTTAGCATACTTTTTTTTTGTTGCAAGAATAGTTATTTATAATTTT